GAAAATTATTTTTACAACAGAAATAAATAGTCAAAATGCAAAATTTAAACTCTCATAACTTCAAAATTTTTATAGATAAATTTTTTTTAACATTTTTTCCATGTTCCTGGTATCTTACCTTACCATTTTTCTCTGGGGTGCGAGTTCTGACGCACCCTGTATAACTAGAATTTACTTGTATTTTTAATTGTATTCAAATACATATTTTTAACCTGAGGAAATTTTGTCATCAAATACTTTTTTTTATTTTGTAATTATTAATGTATACCTACCAAAATTGGACTTGGTCTGTTAGTTAATTTATTATTGTTATTATGAAAAAAAAAGTTCAAACCAAAATAAAAATTTTGATAGCAGAAATTGAATAAAATAAAATAATAAATAAAATGTATCGTGTAATTAATTCAAATTAATATAAACCTTTACAAGGCTTAAATAATTAAGAAATTAAAAAAGGTACAAAAATTGAAATTCTATAAAACTTACTAGACAAGAACTGTAATCTTCATTATACATATTTCTTGGGCAAAAAGAAGTCACAATCACAGTTAAATAAAGAAATGAATTTGTTTTAAGATAGTGTAGACAGATTAATGTTTAGAAATGTTCGTTAATTTAATTACAAACTAAATAAAACTCGCTTATTTATTTAGACATGTTTTTGGAGCAGAAACAATTAGACACTAATAATTATATAAAACCGTGACAATTGAATTATTAATAGAACAAACAAAATTAAATTTGCACCTACTCATAATATGCAAAAAATTATGAAACCACAAACCGAATTCTTGATATTTTCAAGGAAATGAATCTCCTTATTACGTCGGAAGCGACGTCATTTGTTTCCTCTGGTATTTATTTACACGCTTAAAGGTTTCTTTTGATTATTTCTACAACTGTAAACAAACAGTCCGAATTTAAAACAATGAGTTTATTTATAGGCGGCGTAAAAATAGTGTATAGTAGCACCAAGCCATTCATTGCTTACTTTGTAAGCAATAGTAAACGAAAAAATCTATTTATAGAAAAATAGTGGCCTGTTTCAGGTACCCATTTCCTGGAAGCACCCTCACAATATTTGTTTTGTGATGATAATAGGCAAAAACTGAAAATTATGAAAATTTCTAATTTTAGCGAATCAACAAGTGTCGACACGTGTTCGTGGTGAAATAAAAGCCGGGTGTAATTTAAAATAGCTAATTTATTTCGTCAATTCCATACAAATAAAAAAATTAGGCACTTTCGGTGTATTTATACAATAATTTGAACACATGATAATTTTCGCTGGAACTGTTCACACATGTATGGAACCTAAACCTAATCCTAAATCACATACGATTTAAATTATTCGATTAATTAATAATTACACGCTAAGTGATATAAAACAGAGCAATAGAGATTTATCACAGAGAATGCGATTTCGCCCGCTGCACTTGCATCAAAAATCCGGCACAGCCAGCGAAAACGTCTCTGGCTTCTTGATTGATTTAATTATTGCGAAAGAGTATCGGGAATGCTTGAGCTTAAAAGCGAAGAAATGATAATATCACAGCCTTTTCGGCCGTCGCACAGTCTTTTTCTGTCATCACAGGAATGTTGTTGAGTCACCTTGTGCAGCAGGTAAATCGGTCATCAAAAATTACTGTTCATAAGGCACTTAGACAGTCTCTTTCCCTTCGAGCTTCTTCGAAAGGTCCGAAATGATCTCCCTGAAGATCAACGGGTCGATGTTCTTGCCCATCTGGTACAGGACGTACCAATCACCGATCTCACATCGCGTATTGATAATTTCCACTTCCTTCTGCGGAGCGATCTTGCATTTACCCCTCAACAAGTACAACCGGACTTTGGGCATGAAAATGACTACCAATCGGTAGATCAAAGACAGCCCCGAAAGTACGCTCAAAAACACGAACCAAAACCAGAGAAAAACGTAAATTTTTTCATTAACAATATTCAAGGGTAGGACACAAAGTCCATCGAACTTCTGGACTGAGCCGGAAGGACCGTATTTGTGGAAAGTACATTTAGTGACTTTAGGAAACACGCGTGACATTGGGTCTTCACGTTCCTCGGGTTCCATTTCAGTGAAACTGAGAACGTCGCGTCCATACGTACTAAACTCCCCGTCGAGGAAGTAGTCCATGAAGAAGATTTGGCCGACCACATTTACAAAATTTAGGACTTCGCAAATGAAAAAGCGAAAAGCGTAAAAGTTTTGCATGTGCAAATTCGTGATGAAGTAATCGACAAGTAGACGTTTCCGGTCGGTTTTGCAGTCCTCACTCACGATGGGGTAGTTCAAATCGAGTACTAACATCTTAATCCGACCCCCTTCCCAAGTCTTCCACAAGTACCTCGGGACGTAGAAGAGCATCGCTTGGAAGAACAGCGCGAAACACACCCATTGGTAGTACTTGTGGTACTTGACCTCATCGGTACCATCCACATGGCTGGCGACCCCTGGTTGGACTATATCCAGACCTACTCTCCCGGTTAATCTGTTAGGAATGGTGAATGTGGAGTAGATCCAACAGTAGGTGTCCATCACATTTAGGGGTATCTCATCGACGATGCAGTCGATGGGGTCCCCGATGTACTGCCGACTCGTCACCAACAACGAGAAGGCTATGAGGATGATAACGGTCGCTTTGTAGTGCAAACGGAAGACATTGTTGTCGATACACACCACATCGATCTTCAAAAGCCCCTTGACGGAGCCGAAAACGTCAAACATGGCGGAGGGTACTTAACACTAACACTGGCGAATTTTTTTACGCTTAGCTTTTTAATTAAGAGGTTAATTGTTGGTGGCACTTTCTACTGTGTATTTATGTGTACGCTGCGAGCGCTACTACGCCAACGATGGGGTCCACTGACTGCACCAGAGAGGGGCGACAGGGAAGGGAGACGCGAACGCGATTGGTCGGAATGCTAGCCTCGCTGCGGGACGAGGAAGACAGTTTTGAGAGGGAGAGAGTTGGGGTAATTAAGGGACGGGATTCTTGCACGATGCCCATATTCCCACGGAGGGATTTTGGATAAGGTGAAATTTTCACGAGGAAATTAAATTATTGCGTTAACGATAAAAAATATTTGTAAAAAATTACTATTGTTAGTAGTGATTTCGAATACAGGTGTTCGATTTGGCTACCTGCATAAGTGACTAATCAAAAATTCATTTAAAATATATTCGGCTGATTCATATTCTTTGTAATTAATGATATCGACAAAGAATGAGAATTCGAAATGAAAACCTTGTAAAATGTTGATCAAAACGTCACTCATCCACTTGTTGATAGATCATTTAATTACTGAGTGATACAAAGTGATTTTAAACGTGGTTATCACCTTCACAAGTTTTATTGTTCTAATTTCCCTATAACTAACATTTGTTAAATATTAAACAAATATATTCTTAAAATGTAATATTTGTTTCAAATTGACATGTGAGTTTCACAGGTTATTTTTACAAACGGAATGTCTTCTTCAGTTTTTTAAAACTGATTCTCCCAAAATTCGAGGGACAGCTTGCTACATAAAGCACAAAAAATAGCAAAAAAATATACCTAGAATAATTTGATAATTTGTTTCTATTTATTGTTATTGTTTCATGTTTTTTTAATATTGGAAATCCGCAAGAGTTCGACCACCGGGAGAGTCCGTCCAGGGTGAATATTTCAACCCCGGCGCTTCAAACAAATGTTTATGATATACAGGAGGCGCCAGAACTAGCACCCCAGAGAAAAAATTCAAATAAGATAAGATGCCAGGAACATGGAAAAAATGTTTAATAAATTCTATCTGTCAAAAAATCTTGACATTTATTTTTTGACATTTGACATTTTTATGTCTATTTAATGATACTGATGTTTATATATCTGTTTTTTAGAATTATTTAGTAATGGTTCAAAAATTTTGCTTATAAAAGCCACAAATAACATTAAAAAGAGTTAGAATTTAAGATACAGCTTCCTTGATTCCTCTTCTAATAGCCTGTAGCAAAAAAAATTGGCAAATTATTTTTACAACAGGAATAGAGTCAAAGTGCAAAATTTAAACTGTCATAACTTCGAAATTTTTATAGATAATACTTTTTAAACATTTTTTTCATGTTCCTGGTATCTTATCTTACTTGAAAATTTTCTCTGGGGCGCGAGTTCTGGCGCACCCTGTATTAATGACACTCTCTGCATAAAAAGTTGATTTAAAGCCTCTTATTCCGTATTCAATTAAAATTGAACGTTTTGTGTGAGTGAAAATTTTTCATCTGTCATAGAGTGTTGATAATTATCAAAGTATAAGTAAATTTTTTTCAATTATTTTATTTAAATAGGAACATATTAAAGCACATACAGGGTGCGCCAGAACTCGCGCCCCAGAGAAAATTTTCAAGTAAGGTAAGATACCAGGAACATGAAAAAAATGTTTAAAAAATTCTATCTGTCAAAAAAATTTGCCATTTATTTTTTGACATTTGACATTTTTTTATATCTATTTAATGGTACTGATGATCTTGTATATGTTTTTTTTACAATTATTTAGTAAAGGGACAAAAATTTTGCCAATAAAAGCCACAAATTACATTGAACAGAGTTACAATTAAGGATACAGCTTCGTTGTTTCCTCTCTTAATAGTCTATAACAAAAAAACTTGGAAAATTATTTTTCCAACAGAAATAAATAGAGTCAAAGTGCAAAATTTAACCTCGCATAACTTTTACATTTTTATATTTATAAATTTTTATAAATAGAATTTTTTTAACATTTCTTCCATGTTCCTGGTATTTTACCTTACATGGCATTTTTCTCTGGGACTCGAGTGCTGGCGCATTCTGTATTTACAAATACTTTTATTAGTTTTATTCAGTAACTGTGTTTTTAATTCACTTTGTGTAGCATTTTCTTCTTGGTTAGTCTCATCCATAACCGGTGGACGATCCAACCCGCGGACTTTTATTTTTTTGAACTTTTATTTCTAAAGGTTTAAAAAATTATTTAAAATAAATATAATTCATAAAAAATTAACAAAAATACGAGTTACTAAACAAAAAGTGTTCGAACTATCCCGCAATTACCCTAGAAAATAGGTACCCAAAAACATTGACTATAAAAGTCGCGAATAGTTCAGAATACAGTTCTTTTGTTTATTTTTCTAACAGCATGTTATTATCCACTGAAATAAATAAGGTTAAGTCAGGTCAGGTCAGGTCTAATAGCCGACAGCAAAAAAATCATATGGAAACATCTAAATATTAATTTTTAGTATAGGGTGCTACAAAACTAGCGCCCCAGAGAAAAATTTCAATTCAGTTAACATACCAGGAACACGGAAAAATGTTTAAAAAATTCTTTTTTTCAAAAAATTTTGACATTTATTTTTTGACATTTGACATTTTTTATGTCTATTTAATGATACCGACGACCTTTTATATGTTTTTTTTTATAATTATTTAGAAAATCTAGATTCTATAAGTAATGCTAATTTTTTTTATTTGAGGTTTTTCTTATGTTTTTGCCATAACCTTTAATGTAAAGCTAAAGTTGTGATATTTTCAATTTCGGTGCTAAACTCAAGATTGAAAATTAATCGACTTTAACCCCTTGGCTTATGACAGATCTCCCAGTGTTCGGAGACGTTGTAGTATGTTTTAAGGATCTATTTTAGGTTTTTTTCTTTGTTTGTTAAGATTTTATGTTTATTTTATTTTTTAAGTTTGAAATACATATTTAGGTCTGATAGAAATTTGTCTGATGCACTCTTACTTAAAATGTGTGTGTCAATCATTAATCAATATGGATGATAAAGGTATTACAACATTTTTACAGTTATTTATTAAAAATTAACTAAGAATTAAAATACATAATTTGGAACAGTATCAACACACGTTTATGACAATTTGATTGTAGTTTTTATAAACCTTACAATTTTTAATCAAAATTGCCGTCGTATAATATATTTTAAAGAAACATCAGAAATAAAAATACAAAAATTTAAAGAATTTTAAATTGGACAGATGCTTGATAGAATTAGAAAAGTATGAAAATGAATGTCATATTTTCACAAAAATTTGTAACAGACTTTAATGTAGTTTCGCTAAAACTGAAAAATGTCTTTAGAATAATTTTTGATTAAGAAAAGTTAAAAATTATTTTCCATACCAGGTGAATAAAAAGTATGGAACCAAACGTTTTTTGCTTAAACTATTTATTTTTTTAAAAAAACTAATTGATGAGTGATAAAGTACTATAAAAATGTGATGATTTAACAAGAATTAAATTTTTAGAAATTTCCTTTTGTTTTTGAGTTGTACAAAAAAAAAATTAAATGGCAACCTACTATAAAATCATTTTTCTCATAAAAGCTATACTCTAAGGATTACAACTATTTGCTTTATATTAAATTTTTTCAAAAAAATTGCAATTTTGACAAAAAAAATCGCATAACTCAAAAACAAAACAAAATTTCGTTCTGAAAATACAATCACATTTTTTATATTACTTTAATTTATATTAATTATTATTTTCTGGAGGCAAATGATTAAAAATAAAACCGCTTGGTTCCATACTTTATATTCACCCTGTATTTGTGCCAATAAAAAAATGTTAATTTTGGTTTGAAACTATTTTATTCACGACCTGTATTTGTGTTGCAATCAGCGGCCGGCATCGTCGGCTCTGCCTCTCGATTTTTCTAATCGCAAGCTCCGTTCTTTGTGTCGACGTCGACGATATTCCCGTTCTCGTTGTCTGCAAGCGCCCATCGGCGGCTCTTCGGGAGGTCAGGGGCACTGTTGACCGCTAACAGAGGTGACATTCCAGCCTACCGTTCGCTGAACTGTCGTCAACTCAAACTTTTCCCTCAATCTCGCCGAATTTCGAAAACTCGCATATCTCCCGTCTTACGCATTTTTAATCGACCACCGGAAAAGTCCGGTAGCCACGCCGGACCAACCATAAATTCTTCCGATTATCTCAGGCATTCGCAGCACGTCGAGGCGAGAACCACGACGACCGACTTGCGAGAAAACTCGGACCTTGAAGTGGCTTCGCTTTGCTGCTGCTGCCGAGACTCGGGTCCGTATTGTAAGTAACCCCTTTGGAATGCAGTTCGATCAATCCGGGTAGCTTCAGCTTTGTCCGACGTTCTGTTGAGTCATCGGGTACATTGCCGGTACCCACGACCGGATTCGACGGGTACAAGGTACAGAGAACCACGATTCAACAAGACTGAACCAAGATTTTTGCAATCTCACTCAAAAAATTAACACTATTTTAGGAGTCAAAAAGTTAAAACACAAAAATATCAAACAGTTAAAGCTGTGAAAAATACACAGGCTGAAAAGTATAGAACCAAGCGGTCTTTTAAGAACGAAATTTTGTTTTGTATTTGAGTTATGCGATTTTTTTGGTCAAAATTGCAACTTATGTAAAAATTAAATACAGGGTATGTCAGAACTTGCGAGCCAGAGAAAAAATTCAAGTATGGTAAGATACCAAAAACATGGAAAAAATGTTTAAAAAAAATAATATTTATTTGTGACATTTGACATTTTGATCTTGTATATGTTTTTTTTTATGATTATTCAGTAAAGGTACAAAAATTTCGCCAATAAAAGCCACAAATTGCATTAAAAGAGTTACAATTTAGGATACAGCTTTCTTGTTTCCTCTTCTAACAGCTTGTAAACATGGAAAATTATTTTTCCAAGAGAAATAAATAGAATCAAAATGCAAAATTTAAACTCTAAATTTTTATTGAGAGAATTTTTAAACATTTTTTCCATGTTCCTGGTATCTTACCTTAGAGGCCATATTTTCTGAGGCGCGAGTTCTGGCGCACCCTGTATACTTGTATACACGGGATTAAAATTTAATGCATTTTTGTCTCATTTCTATCTCTATTTTTCTCAATTTTATTAAAATTCCGGAGGGTGTCACGATGTGTTTCAATTTACAGCAAATAGTTTTAGAAAAATGTGTCAGCAGTGGCACTAGGAAGCAAGTTTGTAATTTTTGTACAAAGAAATTGTCTAAATTCTAATTTTTTTTTTCTAAATTTTTTTTACATTTTTCCATGTTCCTGGCATCTTACATGGCACTTACAAGTAGATAGTTGTAATCCTTAGATCGTAACCTTCATGAGAAAAATGGATTTATAGTGGGTTGTCATTTAAAAGAATAAAAAAAATTGTAGAACTCAACAAAAAAAGAAAATTTCGAAAAATTTTATTCTTGATAAAACATCACATTTTTATAGTACTTCATTATTCATCAATTTGTTTTTCCAAAAAATTAATAGTTTAAGCAAAAAACGTTTGGAGGAAAAAATTATTCATCATTTTAGAAAAACAACAATCTAAAAGGTGCGTTATTGAGTTTACTTCTCTTCATTATTTTTACTTTTACAATAATGTTTTTGTTCATTGGAGGTTAATTAAAGTTTTGTGTAATTTTGCAAATAAAAACAACTAATTATGAATTAACTTGCTGTACATACAGGGTCCAAGTGGCCCCGGCCGATAACACCTAAACTTACTTTTTTTTGAAATACTAAATTTTCAAATAATACTATTCATTCCTCGCTTTCTTAGTAAATGCATCAAATTTTTTTGGCACATCCGGTGTAGCTGGAAATGCTAGCAAATTTAGTTTTTCAAATGGAACACTTATGTTTTTTTTTGCTTGAAACAATAATAATTGGTATGAAAAATACGGTAAACCACTATTTATTACATTTTACTCTACATAATACACTCAAAAAACAATTTAAATTTTTGAATTTTATTGCAAATTTTGCAACGTAGGCGAATTTTACTTGTCAAGGTATTCATAAAAAAAGCAATATGCTTGGATACCGTTTAATTGTTAGATTTTCAAAGCGTAATTTGTCAATAAATCTTATTGAGATCTTTAATAATGGATGATATTAATTACGACTAATTGGTAGATCAGCTTGAAATGTTTTTTAAGTGCAATAAAAATAGAGCGGAAGCTGAAAGACAGTATAGAGAAAAATACTCAAATAGAGTTTACCTAAATCGTTGGAAATTAGTCGAATTGAAAAACAACTGAGACGAATAGGTTCGCTTCCTAAAACTAAAAAACCTGTGGTTCTTAGTGAAGAACAAGAAAATGGAAATCTGAATGTTCTGTTATCAGTCGAAGAAAATCCAAGAGTTTCGATAAGAGAACTTGCTCATCAACTGACAAATTAGATTTGTTAAACCAACAATTAAACTGTATCCAAGCATTTTTTTATTCACACCTTTCCTTTAAAATTAAAAATCAGGCTACGCGACCAATTTCCTTATAACATTCTAAGATTTAAGATGTTTTTTGATTGCATTATGTTAGGCAAAATGTAATAAATAGTGGTTTACAGTATTTTTCATGTCAATTATTATTGTTTGGAGGAAAAAAATCATAGGTGTTCCATTTGAAAAACTAAATTTGGTAGCATTTCCGGCAACACCACTTGTGCTAAAAAAATTTGATACATTTATTAAGTAAGCCAAGAATGAATATTATTACTTAAATATTTACTTTTTGAAAAAAAGAAGTAAGTTTAGGTGTTATCAGCCGGGGCGACTTGGACCGAATACCCTGTATATCTAAAAAAATTATGTTTCAAGAATAAGAAGGTTTAGGTTCGTTAAAATTCGTGAGAAAAAGAATCAATTGCAGGATATTATAAATACAAAAAAAAACAGAGCATCTTATTTAAAAAACATGGAATTTATATCAAACGATAGTTCAAAGCCCCAATAACTTCCAAAATAGACTTGTAGAAGAACTCAAAAAAGTCGAAATTTTTTTGCGGTTAAGTTAAAGTTTGGAAATTTTTAAATGTCGGAAAAAAATATAAAATTTTGAAGCGTTTATGGTTTAAAAAAATGTTATACCAAAGAAATAAGAAATATTTTGAGATATGGCAAATTTCCCTATTTAAAATTTTACATTTTTCTCAAGGAAATTTTCTTATCATTGGTGTTGTGAAAGTGAAAAACACTTGTAGCAAAGCAAGGGCAAATCAAAAACAATTGAATAATGATAAGTTTTTAAGTGAAATTTCGCATTTTCTCTGAATTTGACAAACTTTTGAATTTTCTTATCGTTAAAATTTCAAAAACACACATGAAGGGAAAATACAATTTGAAAACAATTTGGCAATTCTAAATTGCTTAGGATTTTTTTGTCAAAAACTTTTTGAAGTGTTTGAAAGTTGGGAAAAACATAAGATCTAAATAAGCATGGGGTACACAATTTGTGTGTTGACTAATTGACTAATAATTTTTTTAGGGGTCCTTCTACCCTTAAAACTCAAAAATCTCAAATATTGTATGTAATGAAAAGAATATTTTCTGCTTCCACTTTGACAAGAAAGTTGACGTTATTAGCTAGAGAAATGTAAAATTTTATTATTGTATGTCAAATGACAAATCGCAAAGTACGACTTACCTACTTATTTTTTCTTGAAGGAAAAAATGTGTTGAAGCAACAAAAAAAAATGCAAAATAATTTATACATATTGCTTAACTTTTTACAGTAAGTGCTTTTATATATAAGTATCTACACTGGTATGAATACTTTCCGTGTTGAAAATTTTTATTGTTTAGTGTAGAAGTGAGTAATATTTTTTGCACCTTGATACAACATTTCAATAAAATCATTTTTTCATTGTCACAAGCTTATTATCTTATTAAATTCACTAAAATCTTTTCCAAATTATAACAAATCTAATAATTTGATTTTGCCTATCCAGAGCAATTTGTGACAGATTTTATTTTAAAAGTAATGATTCGTACTTTTTGGAAACCGCTTCAGAAAAATTACTTGAATTAAAACTAACTACAAGTTCCTCGAAGTGTGATTTAAACTAGATAAAACTGACAAAAATCCCAATTACTGAATCAACCCATCTCTATTATTCTTGATTGGGTTAGTTGAGTATCTGTTCCACGCCCGTTTGAAGGCAGGTTTTAACAGTTATTCACTAAGGTTGTGTAATAGATGATAGGTTTATTATCTAGGTCGAGTCCATTCAAAAAAAAATTAAACTGAATGACCAATAAAATAAAATATTTGCGAAAATTTTACCCAATTTTGATTTATTGTCCTATTCTTAGGATGCACATTTAATTTATGGTCTTTTATTAGTGAACAGAGTCTTGCACTAATTTATAAACTCCTCAAATATTTACCTTTTCAAACTTGGAACGTCACCGTCTGAACTGTGACATCAATTCGTTATCATCTCATTGTATTCTTCGTCTGAGGAGTTCAAAGGCGACTTTCAATTGGGTCAAATTAATTGAAACTTTAATTTTAGAAGATCTTAATGTAATCACCAGTTTCGTGAAGATTGATTTCATGCGAGAGAGCCAAGAAATGATTCAAAAAATATTTTGTTGGTAAATATAAATTGACTGTTTACTCGACGTTTCTTATTTGTTACAGTGATAATTTATCTATTAAAAATGTCTAAGACTACTTGGAGTAATCCTTTGTTTTCCTTTTTTTATTTATTTAGGTGCACTATCACAAATTCTGGAAATTTTGTATGTTTATTTGCTTAAAAACACAGAAAATTGTACCTAAATTAATTTTTAATGTTTCTCATATCTAAATTTTTACCAGCAATTTAATTATCTGATTTGAAATTGCACTCAGAACTTGCAATTTCAACAAATTAAAATGCAATTAAGATAAAATTGAAAAAAAAACATTTTATCTTTTGCAACAGACAGCAAAAATATTAAAAAACAGTTGAAATTGAGCCACATTTTTTGTGTAATTCTGCAAAAAGACGAAAAATTTAAATTTGTTACTAATTATTTTTATTAAAGAAATGTAATAAATATCAGTATTTCTCACATACAGGTCTGTTACAACTTGCACCACAGAGAAAAATTTTAAGTAAGATAAAATAGCAAGAACAAAAATCTTTTTATAATTATTTAGTAAAGGTACCAATAAAAGCCACAAATAACATTAAACAGAGTTACAATTTAGAATACAGCTTTCTTGTTTCCTCTTCAATAGCCCGTAGTAAAAAAAACTTGAAAAATAATTTTTCCGACAGAAATAAATAGACTCAAAGTGCAAAATTTAAATTCTCATAACTTCGAAATTTTTATAGATAGAATTTTTTAAACATTTTTTCCATGTTCTTGGTATCTTACTTTACACATTTTTCTCTGGCGCCCGAGTTTTGGCGCAGCCTGTGTTAGTAAGCCATTTCTCAAATACACAATTTAAAGACCCTTCTAATAATGAGCTCACTCTACAAGCTTGCACTTTTTTCATTTTCATTTTAAACTTTTTTGAAAAATATATTTGTATTATTTAATTTTAATAATTATATCTATAATAGGGATAACAAAAAAAAAGGAAAATCTCATAAACATCAACTCTCTTGCTCAGATATTTGTAATTGACTCTCCAATAATTTCCAATAAACTAATTGTTTGAAATTCGATTTCTAACTTTTGTTCGTTATAATCTTATCACCAAGTAAGTACACGGTTCATTATAAATCAACTTCATTGTGTTTTAACAGAGCGCAGGTCTAGGTGCTTTAAATTCATCTGAACTAATAATTGACTCTAAACTCATGAGTAAGATCATTTATTAACCGTTTCTTAAGGTTGTTATTGTGACCATTGGTCGAGTTAATAATGATAATTACAGTTAATTAATTTCTAATTATTGGTGTGTGATTCAAAGACTTTAAGACGTTTTCGTAAGTATTAATTTGAAACAAAATCTTGATTAATTGTAAATACTGACTCGAATCCTTATTTTTAGGACAAATTCGCATGAAATACAACTAAATCCGTCTAAAACTTGATCAAGACTAACCCGATTGTCTTTAACCCAAGATAAGATAAGGAAATCTTGTTTTCATTCCAGTTTGGCGCCAAAATGTTGACCACTTTCGAAACAATCAAAAAAAATTTCAAAATCAAGCCACAGGCTTACCACATTGATAACTTGATTTTCCGAATGCACTACAGAGTGACCACTTTAATTTTCTTGGTGGCTACACTTCTAGTGACCTCAAGACAATATATAGGGGAACATATAAAGTGTATCAGTGATAAAGGGGTCCCCGAACATGTTATGAACACATTTTGTTTTTTTACCACGACTTTTACTGTGGTAAGTAGGGGTTGTTGCATATGGGTTTGTTTTGATGGTTGGGTTTAGATCAATCATTATGATGATAAAATGGTAAGGGATGGGCATGTGGCGCACCCTGGGGTGGGTTCGTATGGGTTCAATTCAACGGCACCCATCCAGAGACATGCGTATTACCAATGGGTGCCCTTTGTGCTGTTTGGGCAAGCGATTATGTTTCATTTGACCCATTTGATTTGGAAGAAATTTGAAGGTTATTATTTTTTAATATTTTTCAAAAAAATAATTTTTGATTGTGTCAGGGGGACGCATTCGAAGACTGATCGAAGGGCTCCAACTCGGGGCTTTCGCCCTTCTAGAAAAAGAAGTCTCAGTCGATAATAAAAAAATTCCTTCGAAGGAAAAAAAGTAATTTTTGCGACTTTTTGACAAAATTTTAATTTTGTATTTTAGGGCCGAATTTATGGCCACGATTCGTAAAGCATTCATCGACCGAATTTACTTCAACAAATCCTGGTCTCGATGGTTAGTTTTCTGCGAAATTCTCAACGTTGCCAATGTTATTTTACAAGTCTACATCTCGGATGTGTTTCTAAGTCATCAATTTTTGACTCTTGGGACCGATGTTATAGAAGATGGAGACGAAACAGTCACAACTCTCGACGAAGTCTTCCCAAAGGTGAAGTGTTAATTTCTAAACTAAACAACATTTCTACGAGAATACTACATACCCGACTCTAAAAAGTACCGACGAAAAATGTTAATTAATTGTTGTTCTTAAATAATTAGCGAGATAATTAGATTTCTGGTATTTCCTGAATGTCTCTAATGGGAATTGTAAATAAATGGGATTTGTTGACAGCGCTGTCAGACAATTAGGACCGAATTCGCACTTTCTTGTGCAAACAGATATGATATGCGAAAAAAATGCAGTTGAAAAATCAATATTTGGCGGCGATGTAACGCAGAAAATTATTATTTAAAGTTGTTTAAACAAAAATTAAAAAACTAGATAAATACCGTTAAATAGATAAACACACTGACTATAAATCAACTTCTATTTTATCATCAGTTATGCGTTTTTACTTCTGTTAGTTCCATTTTATTCTGTTTCTATTTTTTTAACTATTATTTATTTTGGCTTTATTTGATATATTTTTTAAATTACATAGTGAATGGCAAAATTATGGAATAATCTTATTTATTAAAACTGAATATATTTTGTTTTGGCAAAAATACTCACAGGTCATTTTTTTTTCAAAAAAAAATTTCAACTTGAAATAAAATTTTACACTTTTTAGTTTTTAAATCATCGACATTTTTTTTTAATGGAAACCCCTAATTTTTTAGCCAATTCGATAGATCTTTTAATCGTCGAAATGACAACACCGATATGTTAAATTTTACATAAAATTTTCGAAAAAAAATTATTAAAAAAGTGAAATAATATCAACAAAAAACAAACACACAATTTTATGTATTTATAGATGAGAATTTCGTATTTTTTAAAAAGAAAATTGACCCGTTTAGCACTTGTGTCAAAACAAAATATTTTCCGTTTTAACAAATAAGATTATTCCATAATTTTGCCGCTCACTGTATATTAATGCTAACTATTTTTTCATTTCTTCTATCGTAGTGTTTTATTCTGTTCTGTTTTATTCAAATTTTTTGTTGTTATTTATTTTACCCTAATTTTAATCTCTTTAACTTCTATTTGACTTTTTTGCTTTATTTTGATTCTTTTCTGTTTCCAAACTGTATGTTATTTAATATTTAGTGCTAATTCTTTAATCTTTTATTTATATATAATATTCTATTTTACTTTGACTTGATCCATTTTCTTTTTTGTTTTCATTCAAATTTATTACGATTCTAGGTTTTAAATCACTCAAACACTATTTAGTTATTTATTGTTAAACATTACTGATGGGCTTGAGATTTAATTTATCAAACATTAGGTAAAATTTTGAACAGGATTCTCTACTTTTTGATGGTTGATTACTTCCTCACTTCTAGCAAAAAATATTATTGAAGTTCGATATTTCTAAATGTGGAGACCCCTAATGTAAAAACAGATCGACATTTATTAATTTTTTTACCGTGATTAAACGAGGCCTTTTTTCGTTTATAAAAAGCTGTATTAAAAAGCTATTATTTGTATAAAATTTTAGAGAAAGAGACAAAAGGATAAAACGTGAACTCAAAAATGTAATTAAGGTTGGTTTTGAATTGTCCCTTTATGATCATAATTGTTGTGTTTTCTTTTAAACAATTGCACAAAATGCAATTTTTTGTGTTTTTTGGTGACATTTTATGCAATACTTTGCCCATCACTGGCCATAAACTGTTGTTTTTAAGTGAGAAATTGTTGCAGTTCAACGTATTTCACGGAAACTAATGCAAGGTAAAGCTATTTTCGAGCAATTTGGGTACTGCATACGTCAAATGTCAAAAATTTCAACTGTCAAATACCGGGTGGGGCATCGGTTACGCGCACTTGATAAATCGCGACGTCAAATTAATTAAAACTGGCGATATTCCATATACCTAACTAATTATTGATAGGGTATAATTTGAAAATTTTTCTAATTTTTTTGGAAAATAACTGAGTCCGTAACAATTTTGTGTGTTTTATGAATACTTTCTGTTAATTTACTTATAAAATTTTTACACTAAATGAATCTGTACCTGTCAGCGCATCAAACTTTGATATCACAATTTTAAATTTTGACTTGGTTAGCCAAATAATCGCTTTTTTTATTTAAACACAAACCAGACCCGTGATTTACGACAAAATGGTATAATTTGCCAACAAAAGAATCATTTACTGGTTTAAGGGGTCTTTTTGTTGTAAACCTTGGAATCTTACCCAAACTGCAGTTCCCCATTGTCACCTAAATTTACGATGGCACAAATAGCAGGTCATAAATAAAAATGATTTTCAAAGTTAAGATGGAAAATAAAAAATTAGAGAATGTACCTTACTAATGCCCAGGTAAGTGTGAAAAAATTCAACAATTTTATTTAATTAGAAGTGGGGATTTTCTTTTTGGGCGTAACGGATGCCCCACCCGGTATAATAATAAATTCAATTTATAAGCCGCTAGTTAGAAAAAATAGTATAAAAAACAGGTGTTACAACCTCATTGTGATACTAGTGCATTTGTAATATTCGCCACTGCGTGGCTCGTGTCATAAACTACTCGTATCACGATGAGAGAGTTTGTAACACTTGTTTTTTAATATACTATTGTTACACTTGATATTCTATTTTATTTGTTTGTTATCATATTTTTACGAATATTTTAATAACTGTCTTAGTTTCCAATTAGCCTTTTTTATTTCAATTCTATTTCAAGAAATAAAGATGATAAGTTTTTCAAGAAAATGGATTGAAAGATTACTGGAAAACATCATAAAATTACTTCAGACGTTTGTTTACATTATGTTGTTTATTGATGCATTTATTTATATCGAGAATTTAATCAAGTCACCTACACATTATTTCCGTGACAAGGCTCTATTTTTGTCCTTTGTTTATTTAGTCTAAACAAAATAAATTATTTTAATGGCATCGTTACTCCGACCAATTCCCAATTCAAATTTTTCCAGCTCACAAGAAGGCTTATAAGCAATAAATTAATTTTTATAAAAAAGTTTGCAAAACTTTGATAACATTCCAATTTTCAGGTAACGAAGTGTACATTCCACAAATTTGGCCCTTCCGGCACCATCCAACTCCATGACGCCATGTGTGTCATGGCTCTCAACATAATCAATGAAAAAATCTACATTTTCCTCTGGTTCTGGTTCATCATCCTCTTCATCTTATCCTGCCTTGGAGTGTTTTGGCGCTTCATGACAATTTTGCTTCATTCAAGAAGTCGCGGATTTAATCGTCTAGCTTTCGCCACCTCCTGCCCTGGAAAACTCGACCCATGGCAGATGCTCACAGTGACCCAAAAATGCGACTTCACCGATTGGCTCTTTCTTAAATATTTGGCTAAAAATATGGACGCTTTGGTGTTTAGAGAGCTGTTTTTGGGACTTGCGGAGGATCTTGAAGAGACTAAAAAACCGTTGATTTATTTGGATAGTGACGAAGAGGCTGCAACGCTCAAAAAACCGCGAAAATTTGACTGAATTTTTTACTTGTTGAATAAAATTTGCTAAATGTGTATTGTGTTTCTCTTATCTGAGACGGGCTAGGAAAAGGAATTCCTAACAGTGCGTCAGCTTATCGCATTTTCAACAGAATAATGATAAGCTGGCATTTACTATGCAGACTGGTGTTGGAAGAAGTGTGTGTATTTTTTTAACTAAACGGTAAGTCGTCCTAAAACCAGTCAAAAATTACCAAAAGTAAATTTTTTAGACAATGCTTGGCCTGTTTGATGTCATTAAAGACAAATTTAAGCCAAAATTAAACGCTATAACTATAGATAATTGGGTATTTAAACTCCATTATCGTGTGACAACTTTACTTTTCTTCATTGCTACGATTTTAGTGACTTTTAGGGAGTATATAGGTGAACACATCAAATGTATCAATGATATGCCAAAAGCAGGGTTTGATAGAGTCATTGAGACGTTTTGTTTCTTCTCAACTACTTTCACTGTGGTAATTTCTCTCCTAGTTAAACTTAATTTTTATTGACAATTTTTGACCCAAAGATAGACGATTTCAATACTGATAAATGGAAATATGGCCCTTTAGCTCACCCTGGTGTAGCCCCCTATGGAATCGGTTCCAAACAACCCATCCGAAAACATTCTTACTACCAATGGGTGCCTTTTGTCTTATTCGGACAAGGAATAATGTTTTATTTGACTCACCTCCTTTGGAAAATTATGGAAGACAACACGATTGAAAAACTAGTTTCAGGGTTAAATTGTACCAAACTAGCCCTACTTAATAAAGAAAGTGATGAAATCGATCGCAAAGACAAGTTTAGAACAAAAAAAATTAACGAATAGAAACTAATTTATTTTGTTGTAGAAAAGTTCGGATTAAAAGAATCAAAAATATTTTCTTGAAACGTCTCAAAATCACCAAATCGTGGACTTGGTGGTTTGTTTTCTGCGAACTTCTCAATGTTGCCAACGTTATTTTGCAGATTTATATCACACAGAAATTTCTTGGTGACCAGTTTTATACTTTGGGGACTAGAATCGTGGCTGAGGGTTCCAAAATTTTGGACGAGGTTTTCCCAAAAGTGGGTAAAAATTTGTGTAAGCTACTCTTCAGTATTTTTTTTAGGTCACTAAATGCTCGTTTTACACTTACGGACCTTCAGGATCAATCCAAATCCATGATGCTCTTTGTATCATGGCTTTAAACATTGTCAATGAGAAAATTTTTGTGTTTCTGTGGTTTTGGTACATTTTGCTTTTCATAGCTTCGTGTTTGGTGATAATTTGGAGATTTTTTACTGTTATTTTTTACAAAAAATGTATGACTTTTAACCAGTTTATTTTCGGACATGGCAAATTGCATTATTGGAATTTGAATTTGGTGGTGAAACAGTGCAGTTATCACGATTGGTTGCTGTTAAAATATTTGGCGAAAAATATAGACGGACTTGTGTTCAGAGAGTTGTTCATGGACATTTCCGAGGAACTAGAAGAACGGAAACCTTTGTTTATGTTGGCGCAAAGTGATAAGGGAAACGATATGACCAAGTTTGACTAAAATATTTTATTGTATTATTTTTTATATTTTTTTAATAAATTTATTTAACAACAAATATTTTTCTAATGCAAAGTTATCTGACGACTTAAAACTTGGTTTAAATAAAAAAAAATTTTATTATTCATATTCGTTTTTGTTTTTGGCTGTTTTTTTACGATTTTTCGTTCACGTTCTTCTTTGAAAAACAATTTAATATTCAAAAAATCGGTTTTAGTTAAAAAACTAAGGACTCAAGTTAGTCGGACGACTTCAGATACTTTGGGTAATTTGGATTTTATTTCGGAAACGACAAAAAGTTGAATGATAATAATTCTTACGCAATTTAAAGCCTAGAAAATCTAATTTTAGATTTTTGAAGCGTAAAAGATTTATCTGTTATGTAATTTTGACTTTTTAATAAATAATATTCAACATTATCTATTTGCTTTTACTCGGGACGCTTCCTTATCTTCCCTCTTTTTCAGTACATATGCAAATAAAGTTAGTTTGTGCTGATTTTAAGACCAACAGAGTCAGAATTTTTTTTAAAAAATGTTGGGCTTGTTCAAAGTCGTCACTGGTAGACTTAAACCAAAATTGGGTTCTCCTTGTATTGATAATTGGATTTTCAAACTCCATTATCGAGCAACAACAATTATTTTCTTTGTTGCAACGATTCTAGTGACTTCTAGGGAATATATCGGAGAACACATAAAGTGTGTCAGTGATTCAGTTAATAACAAGGAGTTTCACAAAGTGATTGAATCTTTCTGTTTCTTCAGCACAACATTCACAGTTGTAGGAAATTTGAAATAGTGAAAAATGGCAAAAATTTTGTTAAAATTGCAGATAAGTGATGAGTTCAGTTTTGGGTTCGGAGCCCCACCACATCCTGGTGTTTTCCCATATGGGCTTTTTTCCAAACGACCAATACGAAAACACCTGTACTACCAATGGGTCCCTTTTGTCTTATTTGGACAAGGAGTGATGTTTACTTTGACTCACCTCCTATGGAAAAGTTGGGAAATGGGCCGAATTGGAAAATTTGTCTCCGGTTTGACTTACTCCAGTCTAGCCTTTCTAGAAAATCCGGTCACAGTTGATGGAAAATCCATCCCTTCAAAAAAAGAAAAGTCTTAATGACACTTGACCAAAAATTTTTTTTACGATTTAATTTCAGGGAAATTACAATTCGGAAAATAAAGGATTCGTTTTATGAAAGGGTGTTAATAAACCGGGCTTGGGCCCCTCAATTAGTACTGTGTGAAATTTTGAACTTTGCAAATCTTTGCCTACAAGCTTATTTCACCAACAAGTTCCTTGGGGGTCAGTTTTACACATTTGGGCTCAAAATTTTTACCCAAGGCCACTCAATACTGGACGAGATTTTCCCAAAAGTGAGTTAAAAAATTGAAATTTAGAAAAAAACACATTTTTTTAAGGTAACAAAGTGTACGTTTCACAAATACGGCCCTTCTGGGACCGTTGAACTCCACGACGCCCTTTGTGTCATGGCTCTCAACGTAATCAACGAAAAAATTTATGTTTTTTTGTGGTTTTGGTTCATTTTCCTCTTTGTCGTTTCAGGCCTCGTGCTAGTTTGGCGGTTTGTTTCGATTTCTCTCTATTCCAAAAGTCCGATTTTCAGTCGAATTATTTTTGGTTTTTGGAAACCACGAACAGTGAATCGGAAATTTACGTATTCGGATTGTTTGTTTCTCAAATATTTGTCCAAGAATTTGGACGGGTTGGTGTTCAAGGAGTTGCTTGACCAAATTCACGAGGAACTAGACGATGAGGCCATTTTCATCGGGAAGGAGGAAAGTGGTAACAAAAATGATTGAATCGGGTGTAATTATAGGAATTAGTTTTAATCGCTGTATAAACAAGTAACGGTACTTTGAAACGGTCGATGACGGCTGTGTAATTACTTCAATACAGGACTTTGTTTTTTCAAAAAATTGTAATAATAAATTATCTTTTTTATTTACACGATTCAAACCTGCTTGAATTGAGTCAAAAATTAATAAACAGTAGTTCGATAAATCTTAATCAATTATTCAGCGCTGGTTTATAGTCAATAAAAACAGAATCTGTCGTTGACAGGTTTCTCTTTTCCACTCAATTACCCACGAGAATACGTTCCTTGTCACATTCTAATTAACATTAATGGGGAAACTGGAAAGTGACCGATTTTGGTACAAGTGCACCAATCGCTGGAATAATTAATTAGGAGTTAATTCAATATTTGATTAGCAAATAAAATTAAAATGGAAAATAAATATTGATTTTTAAACTAATTTTATTTTAATAATAATAATGCTTCAGTTTTATGAAATATAAAAAAATATAAATAAGATTTGTAAGCTGAAATTGTTTTTTTTTCTTGACCAAAATTCGTAAACCTGACGGTGCAAAGCTATAAAAATTACAAATGACAGATTTTTGTGTCTACTATATAAATATACAGGCTGTCTCAAAATCCGTGCCTTTAGAGAAAAATGCTATGTAAAGTCAGATACCAGGAGAATTTCAAAAAAAATGTTAAAAAAAATCAGTCTACAAAAATTTCGAAGTTATGAGAGTATAAATTTTGCATTTTGACTCTATTTATTTATATAAACTAATTTTATTGTAATAATAATAATAATGCTTCAGTTTTATGAAATATAAAAAATATAAATGAGATTTGTAAGCTGAAATTGTTTTTTTTTTTCTTGGCCAAAATTCGTAAACCTGACGGTGCTAAGCTAAAAAAATTACAAATGACCGATTTTTGTGTCTACTATATAAATATATAGGGTGTTTCAAAACCCGCGCCTTAGAGAAAAATGCCATGTAAGGTCAGATACCAGGAAAATTAAAAAAAAAATCAATCTATAAAAATGTCGAAGTATAAATTTTGCATTTTGACTCGATTTATTTCTGCTGAAAAAATAATGTTCTATATTTTTTTGCTGCAGGCAAACAAGAAAGCTGTATTCTAAATTGTACGTAACAATGTTTAATGTTACTTTGTGGCTTTTATGGCAAAATTTTTGTACCTTTACTAAATAATTATGAAAAAACATTATGCAAGATTATCAGTAACACTAAATAGTCATAAAAAATGACAAATGTCAAAATAAAATATCAAATTTTTTGATAGATAGATTTTTTTAAACATATCCATGTTCCTGTTATCTTATCTTAATGGAAAATTTTCTCAGGTTTGCGAGTTTTGAAACACCTGTATGTGCAGAATTTTGATATTTTGAGAATTGTCTTCTTATATCATAATATCATAATTTTTGATTTTAATGTTTTTTCGAGATTTTCTTCTTTTAAAAATGAACTTTTTTTGAATCCAAAGTATTATTAATGACGTTTTCAAGATTTAAATTTATGGTCACATTTTTTTTTTTAGGATTTTAAATTTAAACTTATTCTCTTGAAATTATGTATTTTTAAAAAAAATCAAGATATTTTATTTTAAGATGATAAAACTTTGGAGTAAAATCGTTGCTCAAATGTATAACCTCGTTCTCAAAATTGTATGATTTTTTCCATTCCACTTTCAGAATTTAACAAAATGTTCTTTTTAGTCCCACAATCATGAAATCTTATTTTCAGGTTTTCAGAATTTTTATAAACTTTATTAAATACGTTCCTTTTGAGAAATGTTTCTCAGATTATTTCTCAAGATCCTCTAAATATTTCTAGTTTTCTCTGAAAATAATTATAACTTTTCCAGAATTCTGCTTTTATTTTGACACTATTTCTCAACATCTTGAGTTTTACAACAGATATCTTGAAATACTTTCAATTTTTCTTAAAATTCAAATTTTTGTTTTCCGAGATCTTTAAATTTTGTCTTAGATATTTTTTCAAGATTTTAGTTGCACTTGGAAATGGAAATGGTACTTTATAAAATCTTCCAAAATTTCAAATAATCTCTAGACCACAGGCGATCCGGGTAATTTGCCCAAATATTTATGCCCTGAAATATAAATTCCCATAATTTTTTATGGAATTTCGGTCCCTCAACAGGTCGCGTTGGGATCGGCATCCAATATGTTCTATGGAAACCACTTAGCAACAGCGAAACGCAGACGCTGTTTTATCTCTCTTGCATTCCTGAAAGAGCTTGCGTTGGCCTGAAAAAGCGCTTTTGGCGCACTCTGGCGATCCAGACGCGAACTAAGAGCGAAAGCTCGACTAGTGGTCGCCACCTGACGGAAGCAAGAGACGCGCCAGTTTGAATATTTTGTGAATGGATCAAGATCGAAGGCGGCCTTGGAGAAAATGAATGAATGATTGAGTAATTTTATTGGAGGGTGCGAGGCATAGCCGAGGCGTTTTTTCTAACAAATGATTAATTTGCTGTCTATCCGTTTTATTTGTATGTTAAACAGACCTTGGCACAGCATTTTTCTCGCTCGACAGTAAAATGCCGGATTGTTGTGTACAATAAAATTACAACATTTGTGACGCAAACTATTTCTTTTTATCATTCTGTCAGTTTTTGTCATTTATTACAAATACGCCGAGTCAAATGTAAAAAACAAGTTTTGAAATAGAGAAATAACAATTGTGCCACTCATTTTCAAATGCTAATTGAAATGATTTAAAAATAAAAATGATTTATTTGGAAAATAAAAAATGTTTAAACAAAATACTCATAATTGATTAAATTAATGAAGAATTCATTAATAATTTAGTAAACCATTGAATTAAACAATATTAGAATCTATCAGATTTATGTCAAAAAAGCACTGAGTCTTACTTATATTTTGAAATATACCTAATTTTAATTTAATTTCTACAAACTGTTGACTACTTGACTCACTTTTAATCTTTAATAAAGTCGTTAAAATTGCACATTTGACAAATATTTACAAAAATCATAAAACCCAAACCTCCAGTAATATTTTATGACAAAATACTGCACAATAATGGAGTTGATTATCATGAATGGAACTTCCTACAATTAAAAAAGGTCACGGTACCTTAATTGCAAATACAGGCTGTCCCAGCAAGTTCAAAAAGTCCATTAGTGACCTTTAAATGGTGAAATTTAAAAAAAACTGTATAGGACATTGATAGATACTAATCAAGTGCATCACCTAAAATTATTTTCAACCATACAGCATGTCCCAAAAATAAGTTACGATACAAACTTGTGTTTTTTTAAATAAAACACCGTATGTTTCTTGGAATTTTTGAATGTAACCTTTTAAAACAATGTTTTTACCTTAAACTTTTATTAGTCGATTTTGCTTAGTTTTAGAAATAAAATGTTTTTTTGACAAAAACATGCACTTTTTAAAATTTATTACATAAAAACTAAGACAGCTAGAAGAATTTTTTTTTACTTCTGCTAAGAAGAAAGTACAGAATTTAGCTGTAGCAATTTTTTAGTGTTTTGCATTTATAAAGATTAAGAAGTTTATTAAAAGTTAAATACCTTAAAAAATTTAAATGGAACACCCTACTTTTTATTTTTATATACAGGGTGCGCCAGAACTCGCGCCCCAGAGAAAATTTTCAAGTATGGTAAGATACCAGGAACATGAAAAAAATGTTTAAAAAATTCTATCTGTCAAAAAATTTTGACATTTATTTTTTGACATTTGACATTTTTTATATCTATTTAAGGATACTGATGATCTTGTATATGTTTTTTTACAATTATTTAGTAAAGGGACAAAAATTTTGNAAAAAATTAAGAAGTTTGTTAAAAGTTAAATAACTTGAAAAATTTTAATGGAACACTTTATTTTTTATTTTTGCATCTAATAGATTGATAAATTTTCTATCTAAAAAAATAAACTTTTAATGTCTAAAATTGATAAATGAAAAGATATTAAAGATTCAATATTAATTGTAGCAACAATGCCTGTCAATATCTGATCAACGATAGTAATTCCACCACGGATCACTTATCCGTTGATTTATCTAGAGATTGTAAAAGTCGTTATAAATACTGAAATTCAAATTATTATTTCATTGTAAAAATAAAGAATAATGGATTCAGTTTAAGACAAATGTGATAATTAAGTGATACTTCTTCCGTCTCTTGTACAACTGTGCACTTTTTGGCTACTGAAACAATAGTAATTATTTTAATGTTTAACGTTAAATAGTATATTAAAGAACAGGTTTTATAAGGGTTGATTTGGCGCACGAATACCAAAGTTAGAAAACGAGCCGTAGGTGAGTTTTCTATGGGATAAGTGCGCCAATGCCATTATAAAACGAGTATTTTATGCTATTTTTTCTAATTTGCGCCCCCTTTTTTCTTATTTTCGTCTAGAGAATTTTGTGTTAGTTGGTATCGGTTGGTAACACTCGGCGCCTACCTGATTTTTTAAATCATTTCTGCCGTCTGTCATTAAAGATAAAATTTAAAAATTATTAGTTAGTAGTGCTACAACATAATAATAATAAATAAAATATGAGCCAACAGAATTTAGTTTGCACTCCGCCCGAAATTCGCGAAATTGCCGAAGCAACAACGCAACATTTGTTACCTGAAGTCAGAAGCGGCATACAATAACTAAATAACCCTAAATTCATTAAAGTACAGTGTGCTTTTATAGATAGCCATAAACGACTTCTACTGAGAAACGTTAATAAACGTATTATAAACGCAAATTAGAAAAATATCTTTTTAGTTATTGATTATAAACACCTAAAAGTAAGTAATTTTAGAAAGACAATTTAATAATCTTTTTTATGCAAAAACAATAAATTGGTTGTTTCATTGAATTTTTTAAAGTTACTGAACTTTTAGCAAACGCCTTCATTTTTTTATATCTTTGTAAATGCAACAAACTAAAAAAATGTTACAACCTTATAGCTTGTACCTTCTTCTTTGCGGTAGTAAAAAAATATTTCTAGATGTGTCAGTTTTTGTGTATAATAAACTTTAAAAAAGTTCAAAAATCCATCTTATTTTTAAAACTAAGTAAAATCGACTAATAAATGTTTAGCATAAAAACGTTGTCATAAAAATCTACATCCAAAAACACTAAGAAATATACGGTGTTTCATTTAAAAAAACACAAGTTTGTATAGTAACTTATTTTTGAGACACGCTGTATAGTTGAAAATAATTTTAGGCGATGGACTAGATTTTATCAATGTCCTATACATACCAGGTGAATAAAAAGTATGGAACCAAGCGTTTTTTTCGTAAACTAAGCACTTTACGAAAAAAATAATTAGTGTGGTGTAAAGTACAATTAAAATGTGACCATTTATTAAGAATAACATTTTTCGAAATTTCTTTTAGTTTTCTAGTTCTGGAAAAAAATTTTTCTTTTTAAATGCCAACCATGGTAATTTTTTTAATTAAAGATTATAATTAAAAAATGACCTCTGATTAAACAGAATTGTTTTTTAGTCAGTACTTTTTTTAATAAATTGTTAAAGTTGCGTTCCGAGCCCATTACGAAGATTTTCCGAACTTGAACGAGGGGGTCGTCTCAAGACTTTGGCCGTTGGAGAGTCCGGTTTTTTGTGTAGGTGCTTTGGGGTGGTTCCGGATGGATAAAAAAATCTAATAACAAATCA